TATCCTTCCCAAAAAGTACACAGTGATTAGCTTTACAGAATTCTGATACCTTCTTTACTAAGCATATTTACATACTCAGTTGGATATAATTTTGCAAGTTCTGAGACTGATTTTTCAAGGACATACTTTAGTTAAAAGAAAAATGCTTATTTTTAAAACCTGATTTATTTTTGTCTTCTATTCAAAACAGTAGCTGAATACAGAAAACTTTGTAGAAATGTCAGGTAACTGTTATCTGCATCTCAGGAAACATACAGTAATTTCTATCACTAATGAAAATGTTTTACAACAGGTCTATGCATTCTTTCTATCTCAGACTAAAACTCCATAACTGATATCCTTCACTATCACTCAGGGTAGACTAGCAGAATTGTTAGTAAGAAGTAAAATACAATACTTCACTGCATTACATAAGAAACTAGATCAGTCTGACTGATTGTGTATCAATCTATGATGACTTTAACAATACTAAATTTCCTCAAGGTATTCAGAGATCTATATTCACATAACCATTTCATTTGGCCTGCAATTTTTTTGGATCATTTTTTTTCTTGCTACTTTAATATATAAACTTTTTCATTATAAATTTGCTAATATAATGACTAATCAAAATCGAATCTATGTAATACTAAAACGTACATAGAATTCTTTAACCTGTCAGAATTCCAGATACATAATTTCTATAAATAAAAGATGTAAGTTGGTACATAGATTCTAGGTCTGTTGATAGACAGATGGATGGATAGACGGATGGATGGATGGATGGATGGATGGATGGATAAATGGCAGAGAGTTTATATTTTCATGACATATATGGTAGAAAATAAGCACCATATTATCTGAACAAACATACCTTCTTAAACAGAATATTCTACATATATTCTTACATAAATGAGAGCATATTATACATATTATTTGACTTACTTTTCTACCTGCTTATCTTAGAAATCTATCCATGTATTAAATCCACAACTCTATACATTTTGCATACTTTTTCAATCTTATCTTCAGATATCACACTGTATTTCTTACCTTCTATCTTAATTTATTCTATAACAAAGAGATTATTTTTTAATTTAAGAAGTGAGTCACATGTATCTTTTGATTATACTACTTAAAGATTTTACTAGCAATTAATTATTCTATATGAATTTTCATCTTTCTTAAATAATACATTTATATCTGCATGTACTTATCTTCCAAAAAAATGCTTTTACAATAAATACAGTAAGTCAACATATAAAATAGTAAAATTGCTTTAGGAAGCAGTGAATTAGGAAGAAAAACCTACTAAATTAAGAAAATAAATACAGACACAATTCAAGTCAATATCTGGCTAGGCCACACAAAACTAGATAAGTAGCAGAAGAAATTTTAAATTCATTATACCTTTATAAAAGGAAAAAATAACTTTAACAACCTACTTAAAACACAGAACCACAAGCAGCAACAATAACAGGACAGAAAAGTATGTAGGGTTAAATTAAAATCTGTATTTTCTTGTAACTTCTTTCATATACATAAAAACTGGAATAATATGACTTCTAGTTTTATGTGGTAAAAGGCAGTATACCATTCTGTTCTTCCAACTAGAACCATGATTCAAATAAACTGAATAGCAAGTAAAAAAGAAAGGAGGGAGAACTGGAGGAAGGGAAGGAAGGACGGAATGAACTAAACTAGATCATTTAAGTAAGCAAATAATAAAAAAAAAATTAGGCTTTATTATTATCAAAAGAAATTGTAAAAGGGGAATAAAAGATACTATATATTATCTCTAGAGGAAAGTAAGTTTGATTTTATATATCTATAAAAAGAATTAAATGCTAACACATCCTATATTAAAAAAAATTCTTAGAGGAATTGCAAAATTTACCAAAGCCTATGGTAACACAAACACCACACACGACCAGCAATCCTTCTAGCTGGTATGGCTTGCTGATACATAGTGAACTAAACACTGTAACTTTAATTGAAATTTGAATGTTATAAACAGTTAGATGTCTGGCTCTGGCCAGCATTGTAATGCCATCAGCAAAACAGAGATGGGAAGCATAAACAAACCTTTTAACTAGATTAGTCTCTAAAATGGCCAACAAATCCTTTAACACAAACTCCATTGTGATTAATGTGGAAAGAGGAAAACAGTTTTGGAATAATGCTTTAAAAAATCTGTCTGTATTATAATATGCATGTTAAATATTTTGATATTTAATATTTATTGATGACAAACTTTATAGTTAATTTCCCAACTAAAAATCCTTTCCTTCTTTATATGGAAGTTTCACTTTAGAGTATTATATTCCAAACAAAGAAACTATTTAAAACACCAGTACTTGCTTTCCTTGACTATGGAGTATTTCTTCTGCTTACTATAGTATGGTTTTTGAATCCTATTATTAAGAATATATGGATTAAGTACATTAATGGATAACATTTCTATATTCATGCTGAATTAAACAATAACCATAGCAACAAGGATAAATGCAAATAAACTTTAAGAGTGGGTCTTAGGAAACATTTTCATATTTACTTCTAGTTTCTGATATACATTCAGTTAAGAAGTGGGGTAGAATGGCAGCACAAGAATTTAAGTTTTAACAGTAATGCCAAGCAAAAAAATTTCTAGATTGCTAAATCTTTTTACTTAACAAAGAATTTAGCAAAGAACCAATTTACAGATTTTTCACCATTGCAAGGTTGATGGTTAATTACATAACTCATTTTACTTCTTTAAAGTAATACATTCTAATAATCTGCTCAGTTCTCTGGAATTTAATGAAAAGTTCTCCGAAGAAAAGGTTTTACAGGCCAGCTATGTTAGATTAAATTTTTGTCAGATCCAACTTGGAATGAAGTATAAGCTTTGCAGATACTATAATCATTAGCCATTTGTATTTCCACTATGTCTACCTCTATTAGAAAATAAGTATTAATGTGTATTGATCTAGAAGTATCTTCTTTTTCTCTTTGTAGACATATTGAGCTATTCCAACATTAAATTATTATGTAACATAGCTATACCTCAAATAAAAATGCCAAAGAGTTAAAATTCTTACTTTACTTTATTTTTAGTTAATCTAAAAAAATTATTTGGGACCAGACTTACTCTTTTTCATTGATTAAAAAATTGTTCTTATTTGTCAGGAACCATTTGTAATTATCTACTCTTACCTATAACAGAAACATACATTTCCTTAGCACTTAAAAATGTTTCCAAACATTGGCATACTGCTCACAGAGTGACAGTCAACATGAGTATACGGTATGAATATACATTTACTAAGAAGGAACATATCAATTAACTGAGTAACAAAATAGGATATTTTGATTTAATTAATCTTTTTCCTTAAAGAAAGTTTTAAAAAAAAAAAAGCAAAACACAAAAACAAAAAACCTCTGGTTTACTGCATTTAAAAGCATTTTAATTTGGCAGCTGCTTTTAAATATCCTGTTATTTTGTGGCATTGCACTAGCAAAACATTTGTATAAAAATTGCTAGAAGAAATATCTTGTTACATACTGTTGTAACATCCAACTCCATTTAGCAAAACACTAAAAGTAACTCTATGCAAGTTAAAGGAAGGTCAAATAAAGAATTCCGTCATGTTATTTTGCTATGTAAAGGGAAGACTGACTTTATTTATGCTTTAAGTTGCACTCTCGACTGCATCCTATAAGAGACTCGGGTTTGGTTTGTTTTTCCATCCATCCTGTACACTTCAAAAATTTTTCCATCATCCTATCTATACAGCTATCAGAGTCATCATCTTACTAATTCTTTCCACAGTACAAATTGATAAAACTCTTTATGATGATTGTAGCTTGAACTAAAAAGTGCCCTATGTCTAATGCAGTATAGTGCTTAGTGTTGTCTACTCATAAAAAGTAACTTGGCTGGTAAACAGTTTCCTTATATTGAACATGGCACAATCATCCAAATGAAAAAACCGGGTAAGACTGATATATTCACTTAGGTGCTACACACACACAAGAAACAATGAGTATTACTAAAAGAAAAACAATATAAAAGAGTTCAGAATTTACCATTTAGAATCAGCCACCCCTTTTCTTTGACTGTGAATCAACATTATTCTAAAACATACATGGTAAAAACTAAGAAGCAAATGTAGTTTTTTCTCTCCAAGGTACTTTTCAAATATGTATTAAAGCTATTAAAGAAACTGACTTAGGATTCTTTGCTTTTTAAAGAACTCATCTATTAAAGTTCTGACTCATTTTATTAAAACCATAGAAGCAGTATCACATAAGCGGTACTAAAGATGGCAACTGTTTTAGAACTAAAATGAGGAAGATTTTTTTCATTACGATCTTGAATATGCCTAGTATATACTAAAATTTCTGAAACTCATAAAAAGTAGGTACTAATTTATTGGACTTCAATTATATTGTAAAAGTTGCTTAAAATATGGTACAGAATATTAAAGCACTCAAAATGAAAATGTATAGCTGTCGTGAAAACCATGAATGCTTGCCTGCTATCTGAGGTTTAACAGAAAAAAATTATTTTGAGAGCAAAACATTAAAGTTGGAGAGAACTGCCATCTTTAATTTGAAAAAATTTAATAAACATTTTTAATAATCTTCATATCAAAGAGCTATATTTACAATACAAACCCAGCAATAGTAGCCACATAAATGACTTTCATAGTCTAAAGCTAGTGAATTGTGTATGAATTGAAAAATCCCTAGAGTATTATGTAGAAATTTTGTTATATTCATCTATTTTAATAAAATACAGTGATAATGTCCTGGAACACTCATTTTCCCACCTAACTATATTAATATTGTTAATATAAAATTTATTTCTGTAAAAAAAATAAAGATTCGACAAATACATCTGTGTTACACAATAAAGAAATCTCTTGACATGAAATTGAAGGGCCCATCCTTGTTTTCATATGCCTAACATAGTGCCTGGCAGAAGATACTCTATAGATGTTTAATTAATTTCTAAGAACAATCTATTTTTCACATACTTTCAAAATCCAGCAAATTTTACAAAGATACGTAAGTGGATATAGGCTTTCTGGCTGACTTCATGGGGTCCCACTGATGACTAGGTGTAAATCTTCATATCCGTAGAAATTTGGAAAGCTGATAATTGTCTGGGTAAGGACCAAAAAAACAAAGTCAGGGAAACATGTCACCTAAGCAAGGAATGCTTTATAGAGCTGGTAAGGCAGCCTAATCACCCCCCAACATCCTATGGTATCAATCATTCACTGAAATGAAACAAGTGCATCCTGAACAAATACATGTTTAACCAAGTCTATTAAGTAATCGCTTATTCAAAATAAGCCACTTTTGTCAAAATTCTATCCTGATGAGAATCAGAAGGAAATATGTTTTTAATTCTTATTATGAGTACTACATTTTTAACAGCATTTAATTTAGCTGTTAATTAGAAAATGTGAGAACCACAGCAAACATCAAGAAAAAAAAATTCTCAAGGAAAAAAAAAAAAAACTTTCAAGGTAATGATAATTATACCAGGAAGGAGGGGGGAAAGGAGAAGGGAAATTAATCTTATACTTCTTGGGTGAAAAAAATCAAATATATCTATTTTTTAAAAACTAATATGGATTATGTCAACCAGCTGGCCCTACTATGTACCATGTTTGCTATGAATGAGCTGCATCAAGTTCTAATCAGATGAAAAGTTTTGTCCTTAAGTGGTTCATTAAGTCAAACTCACAGTAAACATTTACAATTCTAATTGTTTTTGTAAATAGGGGTTGTCAATACAAGAGTAAGAATTTTATTTACTAAACTGACTAACTGGAGGTTGGGGGGGGGTTAGTCACTAGAGAAAGCCAAAATGATTCTGAAAAAGTAATAATCCACAAGGAGTGAATTAGTAACTCTTTAAAGGGGCAACAACAAATTACTGCTTTATAAATAGGCAAATCATAGCTCAGACACTATACACCTTCACTTATAGAAAAGAATTAGTCTAGACAGGAATGGTAGCTGCTTGCTTTTAATCTCACGACTGAGGAGGCAGAGGCAGGCAGATCTCTGTGAGTTAAGCCAGCCTGGTCTAGATTGGATTTCCAAATCATAGACACTGTCTTGGAAAAAGTCTCTGTATGACTTTGAACTGTATACAGGGAATTGGGCATGAAAGTTCATTTCTGACAAAAACAAAACAAAAATCTTGGTATCCTGAGTAAATTCTTCAGGCTTTCTAAATATCACAGCATGGAAAATGAAGAGTTATATAATGTGACCTCCAAGGCATTATCTACTTGAAAAATTATCCTCCTAAAATATCAACAGTATTTAACACTTAGAATATAAGCACACTAAAAATATAATGAAAGGATTTAGCCGAGCATTGATGTCGCACACCTTTAATCCCAGCACTCGAGAGGCAGAGGCAGTCAGATCTCTGAGAGTTTGAGGCCAGCCTGGTCTACAAGGTGAGTTCCAGGACAACCTCCAAAGCTACAGAGAAACCCTGTCTCTCATATATATATATGTGTTTTCAAATTATAAGTTTTTATCTCATTTACAGAAAATATAGAGTCTTCTATCCATAGTAGGGATTAAGTAGGAAATAAGAGAACAGGAATGCTTTCAAAGAAAAATACAAAAACTGGGTATGGTAGCACATGGCTGTAATTCCACCACTCAAAAGGTTGAGGCAGGATGATCATGAAATCAAGACCAAACTCAGTTATATATCAAGATCCTGTCTCAAAAAAGAGGAAACACAAACTAACCACAGGCATTAAATTCAGGACTGTGAATTTTTACTTAGCTGCCTACTGGACAACTACTACTCCAATTGTCTATACAAGTTACTCACTTGACATTGGTTCCTTTAATAAGTTCTACTTTCTATTCATTACGACAGCTAAGTTTTTAAAATGACAGAAATGCTTAGGTGGACCAGGACTAGTAGTATTTATGATGGGAGACAAACTTGAAATTAGCACAGATTTCTACTGAAGTGCAGCAATCACATCTCAGAGAAAGGCAAAAAAAAAAAAAAAAAAAAAAAAAAAAAAAAAAAAAGTGTTCAAATTTATAACAGAAATGAAAGAAATAGGGCCACACTGTTTACTGCTACACAGTCCCCCGCCCATGTGTAAATGTCTAGTTTGACACACAATTGCTAATTAAATTTTTACTGAACAAGTTTCTACATATGCAATGTGCTTTTTGGTCACTAAAATATGAGTATATCATGTTTTGGATTTACCATCAAGAAAACAAAATAAAATACAAAGGACTATCATTTTATAAGACTATAAGATTATATGTCAAATATCTTTACAGATTTATATTTCTTCAAGCATTCTTGCTGATGCAATTCCTGTTTTTCTACTGACATACATACATTTTGGAATCAAAGAAACCAATGCAGTTTTTAAAAAGTGAGAGAGACATACAAAGAGAATATGAATGTGTGTATCCATCTTCAAAAACCAGTTCCTAATGCAAGCTATAAGTATGAGGCCTACAACAGAAATATATTTTTAGTATTTCTGAAATAAAATTAGCACTATATTTTGAAATACAAAAAATACATATAAATAAAATATAGCACTATAAAATGAAGCTACTAAGAACAAACCACATAAGGATGCAGAAATTATTTGTTATCAAAACTGTTATTCTACAAGCCTTAATCTAGATTTATTTTAGGATTTGTACCCAACTATAACATACTAGCTACAACTTCATGATTTCTTTAACTCATGAAGGGTATTTCTGAAATTTATTTCCTTTCACATATTGTGAACAATATTTCACTGCCTCTAGATGAAAAACTCATCTCAATTTACAACAGTAAATAAATAATTCAGTTAAAACTGAAAGTGGTACCAATCCAGAAAAATATTGATGGGGAGGTTTGGCCTTCTATGCAGCAAGAACAACATAAAGTTTTCAATGGGGATTACTTGTTCAGACAAGCTACAGAGATTAGAGTGGAAAAAACAGCTATGAAATACCTAATATTTTCATGTTATGGAATAAAAATACCAGAAACATATGTAGGGAAAGCTAATACCACTGGCATTTAAACTTTAAGGATTTTAAGCTTTGAACTTTATATAGTCAAACATGAAACAAATATTTTACAAAAAAAAAATGCAACTGTAAAACCCAACCAAAGGCCTTATGAACTAAAATCTGAAATTTGCTATGCAATTCAGACAAAATAAAAGATGGAGAAACTAAACACCTAACATAAAAACCAGTCAAGTCTTCCAACACTAAAGTCAATATCCAAGCCACAGACAGAAGCAAAAGACAGAAACACTCAGGTCTACAACTGGAAAAGCAGTTCCAACACAATTCAGATCCCGACATTTTCCCACTCTGAAACAAATGCAGACAGCTTTTCCTGGGAAAAGAGAAAAAAGCTCTCTAAACGTAATTTTTAAACTGACATCTAGAAAGTATGCCTCTTTCTGTCTCTTTCCCTGGCGCCTCATTGGAGGAAGGAGGGGGTTGTTTTTGTAGTCTCCCCCACTGAAGCAAAGCACAATCAGATGATAGCTGGAGAAACCACTTTTGACAACAGCAAACGAAAATAAAAGTGTCCTTCCTTCCCTGACAGGGTGGACACCCCACCTCACACACCCCTCCTCACTCCAGCCCCTCCTTCACTCACCCCCCAGCACCACCCCCTCCTCACCCTAGAGCTCCACTGCGTCTGAGGTTTGATGCTACTGCTGCCCGGAGTGAAAGTCAGAGCCAGAGGAAGGCAATGGAGCCCCCACAGACACACTTACCTTTCCTGCCCCCCACTTTTGAGTGCCTTCCCTGGAGCTGTGGAGGATGACACAAAGGGTAATAAAGGGGGGGAGTGGAGGAGGAGGAGGCAGAGGAGGAGGAGGAGAGCTGGGGAAGTGGCTGGTGTGGGTGTAGGGAGATGTCTCCAGCCAGGGCCAAGCAGCAGCAGCAACAGCAGCAGCAGCAGCAGCAGTAGTAGCAGCAGCAGCAGTAGCAGCAGCAGCAGCAGCAGCAGCAGCAGCAAAGGGTCTGTGTTGCTAAGAGGCTTTTGGTCTCTTTCTCTCCTTCTCTCACGGCCACAGAGAAGGAGGTGGAAGGGGCTCTGGAAGCAGGCGAGTAGAGGGCTGAGAAGGTAGGAGGAGTGGATGGGGGTTTTCTAAGAAGAAGAAACTCCTCTCTCTCAGGCTCAATTCCCCCAGTCAGGGCTCGGAGCTGGAGGGTGGGGGAGGGAATCAG